CGGGGCTCCTCACCTCTGGTGCAATCCTGGTTCTGGGTCTCTCAACTTCCTGTTCACGCCTGTTGAGAAATAGGGCTGGGCAGCTGCCCAGGAAGGAAAGGCGTGTGCTCTTTGTGCTGTGCTGTGCTGTGAATAGTGCTGAGGGAAATATACCAGGTGCAGGGCCACAGGTGTGGCCTTGCCCCCCTACTAGGTGGACTCTGGCCGTTCCAAGGTGACTGCTGCTTTAACAGCGCTTGCTGTGTGCTGGGGCACTGTGGTTAGCAGCCCACTCATGCCCATCTCACTTGATACCCTAGGCTCAACAAGGCCCTAGGAGGTGGGGGTGTTAGCACCTCAGCACCATGCTGGGCAGACTTGCCAGGGCTTCTTTACCTAGGATTGGTCCTTCAACCGTTGTTATAAATAAAGTTTTATGGGCACACAGCCACACCCACTAGTTGATGTGTTTCTGACAGCTGAACTGAGTAGTCATGACAGAGTCCCTGTGACCCAGCCAGGCAAGAGGATTGATCCTTTGGTCCTTGATAGAAAAGTTTGTAGGCTCCTTGGGTCTGGTCTTATTGTGGGAACCAGTGATCTCTGTCCCGGTGTCTGTTACTGTCCAACAAGCCTGAATCTCTGCTGGCCTAGAGCAGGGATGTGGGAGGCTGTGCTGGCTTTAACTTCACATCAATAAAGGTGGTCTCTGCCCTTGGGGCGCTCAGAGTCTAGGGCACAGTCCCTGGCTTTGCTCTTATTCCCCTCCTTCCTTCTCTGGCCTTGCTTCCTTCCTCTGGAAATTGGGGTCCTGATTCCTGCCCTGCAGGAGCACCAAGCCCAGTGAGATTATGTGCACAGTAGGCTCCACAGGCTACCCTTTATGTACCCACCCCTGAGGTGACATTTGAGCCAGCTCTGGGAGGCTAGGGGCCAGAAACAGGTGGGGTGTGGAGGAGGCGCCTTCTGGGCATTCCACAACCTTCAAGGGCGTCCTGAAGGTCTTTGCTGCCCTCCCCTTGCCTAAAGCAGAGAAAAGTTCCCCAGAGGATTAGGGGTGGAAGCAGTGTACCCCTGGCCCAGAGCATATGACCCACCTTTACTCCTTGGTCACTGGCCCCCTGCTGCAGAGATGGCCCTTGCTATTCCCACCTGGGATGTCCCTTCTGTGTCCTCTGGCCTCCTCTCCCCACCCTCCCCTTAGGGCACTCCATTGGAAGCACACCTCCTTTCTTCTCAGTCTCCTAAAGAGCTGATTCCTGGAAAGCAGAGGCAGGGATCTAGGCTTCTGGCCTTGAGCCTGAAGCTTAGTGTAGCCTAGCATAGGTCCGCTTCTGTGAGTACATGGATCGCACCTCCCATGAGCTGCTTCCACCTCCAGGACAGTTTGAGGGCTGGCTCCCCTGGGGAAGCCAGATCCCTTCTGTGTCCTCCGTGCTCACTGTGTGGGTCTCAAACTGGAGGCCCTGGGCACTCCATCCAGCTTTCATGTGGTTAGGGTTTACTTGCTTGCTTCAGCCTGAGTCAGCCTGCAGTGAGTGAAATATTTTGGACTCTTTGTTTGCCTTTACCATTGGGGTGATTTGACATAAGAATTGAGATTTCTGGCAGCTTTCAAGCAGCATGTAGGTGGCCCTGACATGGGGGATTGACTGAGTCCCCATACTCACCAGTCCATTGGAAAAGATGCCCCCTTTGCCCAGCTGGTGTGGCTCAGTTGAGCATCGTCCTGTGCACTGAAGGGTTGCCCGTTCAGTTCCCGGTTGGGGCACATTCCTTGGTTGCAGATTTGATCCCTGGTTGGGCGTGTACGGAGGGCAGCCAATTGATGTTTCTCTCCCCTAGAGAGAGAGAGAGAGAGAGAGAGAGAGAGAGAGAGAGTGTGTGTGTGTGTGTGTGTGTGTGTCTGTCTGTCTGTCTCTCTCTCTCTCTCTCTCTCAGCATGTCTTCAGGTGAGGATTTAAAAAAAAAAGATGGCCCCTAAGGGCCTGCCACTGTGTTCCACGCACCTGTGGGGAGCTATGTAGACCTTATCACTCCCTTTACAATCCTCCATTTTAACATCAAAAGGGCTTCTTTGGGATGCCTTTCTTCAGCAGAACTCTCTCAGGGCAGCAGGGTTCACATGCTGTGTGCCTGAGGAGAGCCTGCTGGCCTTAGAAAAGCTCTTTTCGACATCCTAGTTCTGACCCACCACTTTTGGTCAGATAGGGGTGGGGATTCAGCTGCCTGTGGAAAACTTGTGAGTGGCCAGGGTCCAGACTGGGACTCAGCCTTTCCCTTCCCTAAATCTCTGGATCTTTCTCGAGCTCTTAGAGGTGTAATATGGCGATTGGTTGTAGAGCAATGAGAAGTTTCTACCTTGGGTGACTGCTCCCAGAGGACGCTTGTTGATACCTGGGGACGTCCATGGTTGTCACAACTGGGGATGATCCTGGCATTGAGCAGGTGGGGGCCAGGGATGCTGCTCAACACCCAACAGTGCCCAGGACAGCACTCCACAGAGAATGACCCAACCCTAACATCCATTGTGCTGAGGGGAAGAGACCTTAGCATGTCTGGAGCTTTCTGAGGCTCACTTTGGGGGCTTAGTGTTTGTTCATTTGTTCTCCTGGCTGGTGCTCATCAAGAATCTGTCAGAACAGGAGTAGCTGTACTACTTTTACACTGCAGTGAACAAGGTCCCTGCCCCCAGAACACCAGTTTAATTAGAGGAATAGATAGCCATAAACATTCTAGGTGGTGCTGAGGCTCCAGGGAAACGACCAAGGTAACTTTAGAGCCCTGGAGGGGAGGAGGTGCTTAGCAGGAGAGGGCCAGAGAGGGCAGGACAGCCACCCGGCTCAGGTCAGCAAGGCCCAGAGTTTAGTTTGCCCCAGGATTCTGGGAGCCTAGGGAGGGTGCACCTGTGGCTTTTTCCAGGGGGAAGGGTCTCAGCTTTCATTCAGTTCTCAAAAGGTTCTGCAACTCTCGAGGGTTCAAGTGGACACTGCATTCATGGGAAGTAGGATGCTGGCTGTGGCAAACACGTACTGGGGTTTGTAGGCAGAGGGCTGGTGGGACTCTGGGTGTTCCTGAGTTGGTGTTTTCTGGGCAAGGGTCTTGGACTCTGCTAAGGGAGCAACCCAACCACCCCCGCTCCCCCATAGGCACGCGGAACGCAGTGCTCAACACGGAGGCGCGAACAATTGATGCAGACGTGCTGAGCCGTCGCTGCGTGCTCATGCGGCTGCTAGATTTCTCCTATGAGCAGTACCAGAAGGCCCTGCGGCAGTTGGCTGGTGCCGTGGTCATCATCCTTCCACGGGCCATGGCTGCCGTGCCCCAGGATGTCATTCGGGTGAGTCCCCATTCCCCACCTTCTTTACAGGCCAGGGTCCAGAAGCTTCTTTGGGAAAAGGATCACTGGGTTTGGAGGCAGCTGTGTGGCAAGTCATTTTACCTCCCTGAGCCCTTGTCCTTTAAGAAGCGGATGGCACCTGTTCCCCTTCATCATTGGTTCCTATCCCCCTGGAGTGACACTGCAGAGGACACTGGGTGATGTCTGGGGACATCTGTGGTTTTCACAACTGGGGGTGCTTTTGGCATCAAGTGGGTGGGACCAGGGGTACTGTTCAATACCCCGTAAGTGCCCAGGACAGGCCCCCACAGAGTGACCCAGCCTCGATGTCAGCAGTGCTGAGGGGCAGAGGTTTGCTTTGAATGAACAGGATTGGATAGGATCCCCCAAGTTACTGTGATAAAGATGCTTTGCAGATGAGAAGGGGGTGTGGGGCGGTGGGGGTTGGGTGGGGTCGCGGAGCCCATGCTTTCCAAAAGCCAGCTTAGTGCCAGCCATACAGTTTATGCCCACTGTCCATGTGGGTCCCTGCCATCAGCTTGGGAAGCCAGCACCCATTGCCCACTTACAGCCAGTGAGAGTAGGACTGGCCCAAAATAACCCCACATCTGACCCCAGCCTGGCTGGCTCCAACACCTGTTCTCCCAGCCCGTTTCCTCCCTGCTGGGTACCACCCAGGGGGCTCCTGGGCATCACCACACCTCACCCGTCCCCCTGTCTTTGTCGAACTTCCCTGTCCCCTTCCTGCCCCTTCCTCTAGCACAATCCTAGCCTCGTTAGCTACCTCGGAGGAGGCATTCTTTCAGGCCCTGACCTACCTGCCCTCCAGGGACAGCCATTGGGTACACCCCAGGCTTAAGTCACCTAAACGTGTGTCTCTTCCACAGCAATTCATGGAGATTGAGCCTGAGATGCTGGCCATGGAGACCATTGTTCCTGTGTACTTTGCTGTGGAAGACGAGGCCCTGCTCTCCATCTACGAGCAGACTCAGGCCGCCTCTGCCTCCCAGGGCTCTGCTTCTGCTGCTGAAGGTGTGCTGGGGGCTGTAGGAGAAGAGCGGGTTCATGGGGTCATGGGGAGCCTTTCCTGTTGAGGACTAGGGTCACACTGTGCCAGTTCTGAGACCCTTAACACATCACTCGTACTTAACGGTGCAAGTTACCAGGCCCTGCCCCAGACCTGTGTCACAGTTTCAGGGCGGAGGGCCAGGACTGCATTTTATAGCCCCCACCTCACCCCACTTCTGATTTTCACACAAACAAAAGCTTGAGAATCACTGATTTAGAGGGAGGTATTACCTTCCTTCAGTCTCTGGATGTTTATGAAAAACATGTCATCGATTTATTTTTTTCTGTCCTTCTTGCTGAATACGTCAGTGGGTCAGTAGCATTCTTGGGGAGAGGAGAAAACCCATTTCCTCAAACCCATTTCCTCCTACCCTGTGGACTGGGGATGCTGTGGTGAGCTCAGAGCAGGAATGGTTTACTGTTGGGAATGAGAGCAAAATTAGTCATAAATGCAGCTGAAAGGAGCCACCTGATGCTCTGTTCTCATCTATTAAAATGGCAGGTGTAATAGAAAAAAATATTTAGAGCTGACAGGAGTGGGACAAGGCAGGAGGGCTTGTCCACACTGGGAGACCTGGCCCAGCTCCTTGGGGAAACAGTTTGGCGACAGATATTTAAGCCGTAGACAAAGGTTCGATCCTCCCGGCCAGATGATTGTCTGCATGGGATGCATGATCGGGGGTTGGCAAGCTACAGCCTATTTGTGTGAATAGAGTTTTGTTGTCATTTGGCTGTTTCCAATCCTTTATGTATTGTCTATGGTGGCTTTCATGCTACAGCAGCAGAGTTGAATGGCTGTGACAGAGTGGAGCAGAACATATTGCCTCTCTGGCCCTTTATAGAAAAAGTTTGTCAGCCCCTGGTCTAGATCAAAGTCTTGAGAGTATCCGTCTGCATTGTGGCAGCAGAAGAGTGAATTTTTGGAAAGACCTAAATTTCCAGGTATTGCAGAAGAGAGGAATCTTCTACTTAGTGGAATATTGTGCAGCCATTAAAAATGACATCAGGGCAGAATTTTCGCAGGATGGAAAAATGCTTATTTTACATTAGTAAGTGGAAAAAACAGGATATAATATCATGAATGTTCATCACAATTGATTTTCTTAGAAATAACTTACGTATTTTCGAATACATGAAGACTTATGAGAAGGTGCAAAAATACCACAGTTCCTTTCTCCCCGCTTCCTCTAGTGATAGTTCCTTACCCATTAAAACTGTATTTTTAAATGCGTAAAGAACAGAAGTATACTTGAGACGGTGAACTCATGGGTGTTTTTAGTTCCTGACCCGAAATGAAAAAGTAGCATCCACAGTGATTCATTTGCTCTCACTGAGCAAGGTGGGCACTGCCTCATGTCTGGTGTCATGAGCAAGTGAGTTACAAATCTTTGGGAGCCCAGGCTGTTTCGCTTTTGGGGCTGGGCTGGTGGATTGTGGGCCATCCGAAGAGAGACTCCTATTTCTGGATCACCTCTAGCGTGACTGTCTTTGTAGATGCTGAGTCAGTCCTTGGGAGGCTGGGTCAGGGGGCGTGTGCGCACCTCTGTAAATTTGGAATGGAGGCCTAAGGGTCTTGCAGAATGAGGGCACTCCCTGCCTGCTTGGGGTCAGGGTGACTGTTTCACCAGCTCTTATCCTGGACATCCAGGCTCTTTTCCACATCTGTTCATCATCTTGGTTCTGGCTTGTATAATCAGTTCTGCATACAGCTTTGCATAGACTGATCACCTAGGGTCCAGGGTGTTGGGATGATGAGGATGCTGGCTCTGGTTGAGGAACCCTGTGACTGACCCCTCCCTGCTCCTGTCCCCAGTGCTGCTCCACACTGCCACCGCCAATGGCTTCCAGATGGTCACCAGTGGGGTTCAGAGCAAGGCCGTGAGTGACTGGCTCATCACCAGTGTGGAGGTGAGTGCCAGCCCTGTTGCTGTGCTGTGACTCCAGGATGGGGGGGGTGCTGAGACCACTGTGTCATCCTCAGAGTGTACCCTGGTGCCCAGTACCCAGTAGGCCATCAGTAACTACTTGTAGCTGGGCATACTGGTCTCCTCAGGCCTCTGCCTGGGCCAGGCACTGCCTCCTGTATTAATGGGGCTTCTGTAGGCCCAAATCTCCAGGGACTTACACCAGATGGTCAAGGCTGCTTGGCATCGCCCCCCATGTCAGCATGTACACTCTGGTAGAAGTTGGGGTGCAGCCATATTGTCAGCTACTCTCCTTTAGGAGTAAGTGATTCTTCCTCAGGGCTGTTGAACATACGAAGTCAGTGGTAGAGCATTGGCCTTCACGCTGAAGGTTCACAGGTTCGATTCCCTGTCAACCTGGGTAGCAGGTTCTCGGCCCCAGTTGGGGCTCCTGTGGGAGGCAGCCAGTCAATGTGTCTCTCTCACATCGATGTTTCTCTTCCTCTTTCTCTCTTCCACTCTCTAAAAATCAATGGGAAAAATATCCTCAAATGAGGATTAACAAAACAAACAAAGTCAGTTGAGAATCCCATGCCTTTCTGTGAGTAATTTTTTGAGCCCCTGCTGTTTGCAGGGGGCAGTGGTGAGCAAGATGTCATTCCTCCCTTGAATTTCTCCTGCATTTTCAGAGGGGCACTCAGGGATGTCCCGGCTGAGAGGCTTGGAGCCAAGTGAAGTGGCAGTGAGGAGAGGACTGAGATTCTGGGTGGAGCGGGCTGCCCTGCAGAGACCAGGGTGGAAGAGGCAAGGCAGCTAACAGAGCTGTCAGGCCAATTCGGGATGAGGGGAAGCCGCTGTGGCCTGTGAGCAATTGATAGAATAATCATATGAATACGCTTTTTAAAATTGTATAAGAGATGGTGGTGATTTGGGCAGAGAAAACCTGCACTGGCCAGAGTCCAGAAGTTGGGTTCAGCTGCAGTTGGTCCAGTTTCCCAAAGGGGTCACAGCAGATGCAACCACTGAGAGTCTGGTGGGCCCTTCTCAAATTTGGGGCTCTGTTTCAGCCTTATTGCATGGCTGTTGGTTCTGAAAATGTCTGCTGACCATGAGTCCTCTGCCATTCCTGTTATTCACATGGGAAGCAGGGGGCAAGGAGGAAGGGAGATGTTGGCCTCTCTCCCACTCTCCCTAGCCAGTGCTGAGACACAGACCCCATGGGGCTCTTGGGGCTCCATTCCCAACTGCACTGTTTCTGCTTGTCAGCAGTGCTCTGCCCTCCAAAACAGTGGCTTGGAGCTCAGCCTTTGAAGGGTGGGCTTGGTTTCCAGGGGGAGAAGCACACTGCAAGAAGATGGAGCAGATTCCTGTAGCTAGAGCCATGGTCAGCAAACTGCAGCCCTCGGCCAAGTCTGGCCCTTGGTCTATTTCTATAAATAAAGTTTTATTGGCACCTGGTCACTCCCATTAGTTCACATAGCACCCACAATTGACTAGTCATGACAGACCATAGAGCCAGCAAAGCTAAAAATATTCTCTCACCCCACTCCTGCTGGGTGAGGCAGCCTGTACTGTTCTGGTGGTTAGGACCTCAGCTGACTGGCACTTCACAGACTCTCTCTCCACAGGGGCGACTGACGGGGCTGGGTGGAGAGGACCTTCCCACCATTGTCATTGTGGCTCACTACGATGCCTTTGGAGTGGCCCCTGTACGTATACGCTTGCCTCAGGAGGGGAGGTGCGCGCCTTTCCTTCCACACTGCTTCAGCCCAGTTCAGAGGCAGAAATAGCTGTCTGTGGACAGCAAATGTGGTTAGAGGAGCAGCACCCACTCTGAGAGCCCTTTAGACATTACCCTAGCTCCTCTTGAGGACCCTGCAGGGTGGCTATCATTGTCAAGCTGAGACAGGCTAAACCAGGGTGTATCTCATGGATGGTCCCATTGCAGATAGGTGACTGGGCCTGGAATAGAGCCCTACATGTCTGTCTGGGTCTCCAAGACACTCAGTTGATAATTCACTGAGAGGACCCCAGGACTCAGCAGATGGTTATCTTCATGGCCATGGTTTGTACAGAGATAGAACAGAGCAGAATGAACCAAGGGAAAAGGTGTATAGGGCAGATCGGGGTGGTGACCAGGCACAAGCTTCCAGAGTCCTCTCCTGGTGGAGTCAATGGGATGCACTTAATTCCTGCAAAATGAGATGTGATGATAACATGTGAGATGCAGTCCCCAAGGGGCTCATAGAGATCTGGTGCCCAGGGTTCTCACTAGGAGCTGATCATCTGGGCCCCTCTGCCTGCCACATATGAGATCCCAGACTCCAGGAGGAGAGCATGTGCACAGCATGAATCATGTTTGCATAAACAGGTTAGGGCCAGGGAGCCCCTGGAGGCCAGTTTCAGATGTCGCCCAGGGCCAGCCTTGCAGGCCGGCCTCTCTGAGGATAGAAGTCTGAGGTGCACTTAGCCCTGCCAGCAGGCTACAGGCATCCCTGGGGCCACGCCCTCAGAGCCCCCAGCACAGTGACATTGAGGCTCATGCCAAAGTGTAAATCTGCTTCCTTTGTCAAGAAAGTCTTGCTTTGAAAGAAAAACCAGATGAACCAAATAGGGTGCTAATGGTGGGTGGACCTGCAGCCTCATGTGAGCTCTTGACTGTGCCATAGACCAGTAACAGCTGTTCCAGGGGCCATACTCTCGGAAGGCCAGGGCCATTCTTGAGACCCACCAGGACCCAGAGACAGGCCCTGACCAGTCATCTGAGAACAATGCTCTCAACTTGTTCATTATTCCTTTTTAGACATTTTTGTCCTAATTTCTCGCTGTCTGTGAAACTTTAAAAAAGTTTTTTGAAATATAATTTCTATAATGTAAAATTTATCCTTTTAAAGCATACAGTTTGGTGGTTTTTAATATAGTAACAAGGTTGTATAACCATCACCACTATCTAATTCCAGAACATTCCGTTATCCCAAAAGAAACCCCATCCCTGTTAGCAGTCTGGACATTTCACATAAATGGAAACACACAGTGTAGCCACACGTGGTGTCTGGCTCCTGTTGCTGAGCATCACGTTGCCCCTTCCCCATGAATTTTAATACTCTCGATACACTATATGTTGGTTTATGGACTGTGACCTTGGGAGGGTCCTAAGCCATTGTGGAATCCAAGATTTTTTTCTTTCCCAAGAAATAGTCATTGCCCCATCGGGAAGTACTGCTTTTCAATCATAGATCCTAGATGAGTGGAGCGGGGAGGCTTTCAGAGCACAGAAGGCTGATGGTCCAGTTGGAGGGAACCTGCACCAACTCCCCCCAATAGTAAAGGGTGTGAGGGTCTGAGTGCACATGCTGAGGCTGGACAGAGGCAGCCCTGGTGGCACAGCTCAGGCACAGGGCAGAGTTGCAGTGAGCAAGGAGACTCAGAAGGGCCTCAGGTGTTGAGACGCTCATCCCTGAGGACATTGAGGTGCTGTCAGTCTGGGGTTCTAAGCAGAGGAGGGCAGCCATCCCATTTGTGCTCTAAGTGTGGACTGGGGTCAAGATTGGCACAGGCAGAGTGGACTGCAACTGCTGAGGGAGGAGGGTAATGAGGCGCTGTGCATGGCCAGTTGGGGGTGGCTGCCAGCCTTTTCTTGCTTGCCACAGTGGCTGTCACATGGTGCGGACTCCAACGGGAGCGGCATCTCCGTGCTGCTGGAGCTCGCCCGCCTCTTCTCCAGGCTGTACACCTACAAGCGCACCCATGCCGCGTAAGTGATGGCCAAGTGATGGCCAGGTGGGAGGGGCTGAAGGCCAAGGTGAGGCCACATGCTGATTAGGCCACACTGGTTACATCTGAGCCTTGGTTTGGATGCACTTCTAACCCTGGGAGTAACAGTGTCTATATTTAGGGCTACCATGGGCCAGGCCCCTCCCACATTCACCCCCTGGAACACTCCTCAGGGTGTCCAGCTGCTGTTAGTCCCAGCAGTGGGGATGCTTTTAGCTGCAAGTAGTAATAGGAACACTCGAAAAATAGTCATGTAAACTAGTTTCCTTCTTGGCACTATGGACACTGGGCCGGGTCATTCTGGGTTTATTCATCCACACGTGGTGCTGCCCTGGGGCAGAAAGGGGCTCAGTGAGAGTTTCCTAGAGCTGTTGTCACCAAGCACCACACACAGAGTAGCTGAAATAGCAGACATTTATGTTCCCAGTTCTGGAGACCAAGATCAAGTTGTCAGAGGGCCGTGTTCCCCACTAAGTCTCCAGGTTAGGGTCCTTCCTACCTTCCACAGCTTCTGGGAGCTGCCTTCAGTCCTCAGAATTCTTGGCTGTGGCCACATAACTCCAGCCTCTCTCTCCCTCCTCACATGGCCCTCTCTCTCTCTCTGTCTTCTCTCTCCTGTAAGGACTGCTGTGGCAGTGGTAGGATGGGTGAGGTGGAGGATGAGGAAGGCCCAAGGATGTGGTCCTTTGTAACAGCTTCAGGAAAAAGCAGTGCTGAATTCCTTTCACCTTTTCTTTCTGGGCGTATTTCTTGGTCTATTGAAACCAGGCTGTCTCCTGGTTTTGAGAGCTCAGAGAAGCCTCTGGAGCAGTGGTTCTCACCCCAGGGGTGACTCTGCCCTAGAGTATACTGGACCATGTCTGGGGACATCTGTGGATGCCACAACTGGGCATGCTCTTGGCATCGAGTGAGTGGGGACCAGGGATGCCGCTCAATACACCAGAGTGCCAAGGATGCCCCCGACAGGGATGACCTGGTCCCCTGGTCCTGATACCAGCAGTGGGCACTGGGGAAGCTCTGCCCTGAGGACTGGTCAGGATTTTGCACTAGGGGAGACCACCTCCTTGTTGAGGACCTAGACACTCATCTGCCAAAGTTGACACCTCCACTCCCCCCACCAGGTATAATCTCCTGTTCTTTGCCTCTGGAGGGGGCAAATTTAACTATCAGGGGACCAAGCGCTGGTTAGAAGACAACCTGGACCACACAGGTTAGTGGCCCCCAGCTTGCCCAGGGCATGGGGTCAGGGGCCTCTGGTTTCCCCCCGATCCCCATCAGCTCCTGCTGCTCCTACAGATTCCAGCCTGCTTCAGGACAATGTGGCTTTTGTCCTCTGCCTGGACACCGTGGGCCGGGGGGACAGCCTCTATCTACATGTGTCTAAGCCGCCCAGGGAGGGGACACTGCAGCACGCCTTCCTGCGGGAGCTGGAGATGGTAGGTGCCACTGGGGGCAAGGGAGCTTTCCAGGCAGCAGCTTGGAAAGCCAGGCATGTGCCCATTTCACAGACAGGCCCCCTGAGGCCCTAACAAGGGTGGCAGTATATCACAAGGGTCTTGGGGGCCAGGCTGGGATATCTGCCCTAACTGTCCCTTGTTAGCTAGTGTTCACGTGGCATCAGCCAGGCATTAGACCAGTCATTTTGCAAACCCTGGGACCTTGAGTGAGTTTCAGTTGGGTTTCTGGGAGGCAAGTGGGTTTTTCCCGCATTTCCAAATGTGGGAGGTTTGGGAAGGGACATGGGACCCTCCTGGCTCTCAGGACCCTGTGTGAACATTTGTGGAATGGACTCGGGGCAAGGTGTCCCTCTGCAGACTTGTTGGCTTGTGGCCAGGACTCCAGGGTAGTGGGTAGACTTCCTGACTACAACACCCCATGCAGGTGGCTGCTCACCAGTTCCCAGAGGTGCGCTTCTCAATGGTGCACAAGAAGATCAACCTGGCGGAGGACATCCTGGCCTGGGAGCATGAGCGCTTCGCCATCCGCCGGCTGCCTGCCTTCACTCTGTCCCACCTGGAGAGCCACCGTGATGGCCAGCGCAGCAGCATTATGGATGTACGGTGAGTGCAGTCCCGAGGCCTCCTGCTTTATCTCATAGCTATCTCCCTGTAGTCTGGGTCCTATGAACAAAACTTTTCTCCTGGGGTGGGGGTGGGGTCACAGTAGACGTGGGTTCCTTGAGTGAGGGAACATGCCATGTGAGTGGTGGGGGAGGAGCTAGGACTAGCCTGGCAGCTCAAGAAACAGGAGTGTGGCTCACCTGTGCTAATTCAGCAAGGGGTGCTAGGGACAGGGAGGACACAGCAAGTCCCCCCCCACACACACACACTCCCAGCCCCTATGCATGACTTTCAGACCCTGAGCACCTCAGTTCACCCTGTGGCTTCTGCCCCCAGGCCTTTGCATAGCTGTGCTGTGGCTTGGAGAGCTGTGCCCTGTCTCCTCATACTTCCTTGGGAGCCCCCCCACCAACTTCTTTCTCACTTTCTCTCTCTCTGTGATGCTGGTACCTCTGGCTTCCATTGTTTTATGATCTCACATCCCCATTAGTTCCCCCTGCTAGCATGGCAGCCCCCAGTGGGTTTAGGGTTTTATGTTGGTGTTGGCTGCCAAACCCCGAGCCTGGGACAGCCTGCCTATGCCCTCTCATTGGCCAACCCTGGGCAACAGCCTAGCTACTGGACACAAGTCAGTTGGGGGGATGAGAAGGCGGTCCTCAATGGGGCCCATCCCAGCCTGGTAACAGGCAAGACCCAGAGAGTGAGACCAGGCACACAGGAGCATCAGCTGGTCCTGGGGCTGGAGGGCTTCTTGGAGGAGTTGGCACTGAAACCAAGGGACATGAGTCAGGAGAAGGGTGTTCCAGAGGAGAGGGAGCTGAGAGCAAAGGAGAATTGGAGGGAAAGAGGAACAGAGCCTGGAGAGTGAGTCTAGCCACCTCCCCCTGCCACTTGCCCCTCCCAGGGTGGTCCCAGCATCTTACACCCACTTGGATCAGTGACGTTGTGCCTCCAAAGTTCCTCTTTTCAGGTCTGTGTTGCCGGCAATTCTCGGTGTCCCTTGGCTTGTGGATGCATTATCCCAATCCCTGCCTCTGTTGTCACAAATTTCTCTTATAAGGACATCCCCCATTGGATATAGGGCCACCCTACTTTAGTGTGACCTCATCCTAACCACATCTGCAAAGATTCTACTTCCAGATCAGGTCACATTCCCAGGTTCGGATGGGTGTGAATTTGGGAGGACATTTGACCCTATTGCTGGGTGCTAATTGACTGCCCTCAACAACCCATGCAGGCAGGTGCCCTGACCACCCATGTTCCAGATGAGGAAACTGAAGCTCAGAGGGGTCAGGTCATTTCAGGCAGACACAAGGAGCCAGGCCTGCTTGTCTGCACCTGCAAATAACCCGCAAGGGCACTGGGCAACCTTTTGAGGAAGGCAGGGTCTCCCTAAATTTAAAAGCAGAATCTGAGGTACAGAGAGGTGTCTGCCGTGCCCAAGGAGGCTGTTTTTTTTCTTATTTGTATTATCATTAGATATGTGATTGCTCTTGCTCTTTGGTCATTATAAATGTTACTGATTCCAAATATATAGAGAATTTTTTCAAATCTGCTCTTGAAGGTCCCGGGTTGACTCTAAAACCCTGACCCGCAACACAAGGCTCATCGCAGAGGCCCTGACTCGAGTCATCTACAACCTTACTGAGAAGGTGAGACCCCCACCATGGCTGCAAGCCCTCCATGTGCACCAGGTGGGTGGAGACTGAGAGCCTGTCCCTCCCTCTTTTTGCAGGGGACACCCCCGGACATGCCTGTCTTCACAGAGCAGATGGTAACCGCTGGGCTGGATGGGCAGGGGTCCTGGGGCAGTGGTGGGCAGGAGTTCCATGACCATGGCCATATCCCTCGCAGCAGATCCAACAGGAACAGCTGGACTCGGTGATGGACTGGCTCACCAACCAGCCCCGGGCTGCCCAGTTGGTGGACAAAGATGGCACGTTCCTCAACACACTGGAGCACTATCTGAGCCGCTACCTGAAGGAGGTGAAGCAGCACCACATCAAGGCTGACAAACGGTGAGGCGCAGACCACCCTATCCCGTCCCAGGGAGCGTGCTCTTCTAGCGTCTTCCACACCTCCCCCAGGGCCAGGTTGAGCAAATAAATAAAATAGTGGATGAACAGTAAAATGATAAATAAGAAAGTACAGGGTTCCAGTTAAATTTGAGTTCCAGATAAACACCAAATTGTTTTTTAGTATAAATATATTCCATACAATGTTCGGGATGTACTTACACTAAAAGCCTGTTCTCGTTTATCTGAATCCACAGAGGACTGATGTCTTGTGTATTATCTGGCAGCCCTATACCCCCGCCCACCCTCTCGTTCTTTTGTGCTCTAGACATCAGGTGGCTTGTACCTGGGTCCCTGTCTGCTCTTAGGGTGCTCCTCCCCACTGTGGGCCCTCTGGGTTTTGTCTTTTTTCTGCTCAAGGCTCCCAAGCTCCTCAGTTGGGCTGAGCAGGCACCTCAGGGCCTGTGGTAGGAGGAGCACCTATGGGTGTCCATGGGCAGGAGATTTCCCTCCTCCTGCTCATTGCCCTTGCTGGCCTCCACCTTCCTCCCAAGTCATGGCACTCCCGGAGACAGAGGCTTAGACAGAAGAAACTGAGGCTCAAAGGGGATCCACAGCCATGGAGTCAGGGTCTGATTCTCGGGCCATGGTCACCCTCCTATAGAAATGGTCTAGACCAGTAAAGTTTCTATAGTCACCATATTTCATTTTGAAAGAGTATGTTTTAACACCCCAAAAAACAATAGGAAAGATGGTACTTAAGAATAAAGGATAGTCCTTTTTTAGGAGAGACAGTGGCAGCCTCGAGGAGACACATGGAGTGCTCCCTGCCATGTCTCTGGGCTAGTGGGGCCTCTGGGTGGTCTGGTGTCTGGGGGCCACAGGACCTGCCCCGGCGATCGGGACGAGTCCACTGAGAATGCACTCTCTCCCAGGGACCCCGAGTTTGTCTTCTACGACCAGCTGAAGCAGGTGATGAATGCCTACAGGTGAGCTGCTCCGGACCAGGAGCCCTTGTCCCTCTGGGTTACCATCCAGGGGACTGTGGTCCACAGGACAGCCAGGGAGCAGTGAGTCCCACACCCTCCCTTGACCCCTGACTCATCTCCCTCCAGGGTCAAACCAGCCATTTTCGACCTGCTCCTGGCAGTCTGCATCGGCGCCTACCTCGGCATGGCCTACACGGCGGTCCAGGTGAGCTCATGGGGTTCAGGTGGGAGGATTGGCCAGGCTGGGCAAATTCTTGCCCCCGTCCTGCCTAGAAGCATGTGACTCCACAGGTCTCTGGTTCTTTCTTGGTGGGGTTTGTCCCCGACCTCACTCTCACCCTCCTGCTGCCCCCAGCACTTCGACCTTCTGTACAAAACAGTTCAGAGACTCCTCCTGAAGGCCAAGACACAGTGACGTGGATGTCGCCGTGCCAGCACCGCGGGCCCCCCCGCCTGCCACCCTCACCACCCTCAGCCTGCAGGGGCTCACCAAAACCCCGAATTACAGAGCTTTTCTGTGTTGCTCTCGAGGATTTGGGGGATTCTTTCTCTTTTTTGTCCTTTGAACTCCCTTGGAGGAGCATTCGGTGGAGTTCTGGGGCCAGGCCATGGACTTGGGAAGAAGCCGTGGCTGAGCCTCTGGCCCGGGAGATGGCCCTGCGGCCCACAGGCGCTAACCTGTGCTATGAAAGATTTGTCCAGCACAGCCTTGGGGTCACTCCTGCTCGTGATGCCAACCATGCCTGGCAATGGCTCTGCACCTGTCCTCTGTGCTGTCTCCATCTCCCTCCGTGACTCGGATCCTCTCCTTGTGTTTGTCTGAAGAGGGAAGCACCACCCTCTGGGCCCCAGGTGGTAGCTCGTCCCTCAAAAGGTTGTCTCCTCCCTGGGCCAGCGCTGAGGCACATGTCTCTCAGAACCCCTGTTGGACTGCTGGTGCCTGAAGACCCGGAGGCCTCCCCCATTCTGTCACCTTCATGCAGGGCCCCTATGTCGTTCCCCGTCTCTGGAGCTTCTCTAGCCTCTGCTCTCACTGCACCCTAGAGAGTGCCGGCATCTCCCCTAGGCTGTCTTCTCTGTAGGCTCCTGGGCTTCCAACTCCCAGCTCTCAAGGGGGAGCTGGGTGCCCTTGGAGACTCCAGGGCCAGAGAGAGACCTAGAGGAGGCGCTGGAGGAGAGGCCCTGGGCTGGAGACCTACTGGTCCCCCTGCAAACTCACTCCTTAGCCCACTGGGCCTGCCTCCTCACCTATGAAAAGGAGGATGCGTCCTGGGGGAGTGAAGTCCATGTTGGGACCTGGTGAGGGGAGTCAGGGCAGAGTGTTTGCTGGAGAAGATGTGACTGTAGGATCCAGAGGGGGAAGGTGTGGGCTCTGTGGGAGCCTCGACTGAGCCCGCACCCCACAAACCAGGTGCCTCATGGGGTGTGAGCTTCTCTCCTGGTGGGGAGAAGGCCTCCAGCACTGAATGGACCTCAGGGAGATGCAGGTGTACCAGTTCATGAGCAATATAATCAAGCAAGTGTTAAGGGGGAGGGTCAGGACAGGGAAGAAGAGGCTCCAGGCCCACCATGGAGGTCTGAAGTGCTATAAAGGGGCAGGAGGACTGACTCTCCTACCCAGCCTGCTGTTGCCCCTTCCCAAAGCCCACCAACAGGAGAAACTGGGCTGCTCTGGGGGCTCTTGTCTCTGCCTCCACCTCCAGCCTCCCACCTTTGCCAAACCAGTCCTTCCCTCCCTGGGCACATCTGGTTGTCCTGTCTTCCAGCCTTCCAGGCCCCGGATGTTGGCTAAGCCAGACCTAGGGAGAGGTCAGTGTGGGGGCCGCAGGTTCTTCTGCCTCATTCCTTCTCCATCCTGCCTAGTGGACTGACTTCCCCAGAGACTTCATTAAACACCTGGCCACCTCTTGGGGTTTGGGGTTCACACCACGAGGTGGATGGGTTGCAGGGAGACTGATCCTTCCCCAAATGTGACAGTGATGGGTGTATCATCTGGGGTTGCCCAGTTAGTGTCCTTCCTCCCCAGAGTGGCTCATCAGGACCGCAGAGCTCAGGCTGGTTGTGGGATGCAGTTGGATCAGAAAATAAAGCCATATCGAACAATCAGCCTTGAGTGTCCTGTCTGGGGGCTCCTGGGGGTGTTGGCAGGCTGATTCCTTCTGAGACTGAGGGGATCTGTCCAGTGCTCTCCCAGCTGATGTTCGTTGGCTTGTGGTAGTATGGCTCTGGTCTGCCTCCACCTTCATATGGAGTCTTCTCTGTATATGTGTGTGTATCTCTAATAAGGGTACTGATCATTGGGTTCAGGACCCACCCTACTCTAGTACAACCTCGTCTCAACTAATTATGTCTGCAAAGACCCTCTTTCCTAATAAGGTTTCATTCTGAGGTTCCCAGAGGTCATGAATTTGAGGAGACACCATTCAACCCAATGTGAGGGTGGGGCAACAGGCTGTGTGGAGGCCTCTCCCACTGACCAGGCCCACCCCTAGCCCCAAACCAGGCTCTGGGGGCGTCCTGGCTTAGATACAGCCTCTGGGATACCCGGTGTAGCTCACTCTGGGTTTATGGGGTGGGGTGCTCTGCGTTTATGGGGTGTGGTTGCTCCTGGCATGAGGGAAGCAGGTCACGGCCATGTCTCCTCCTCTGCTGTTCCGCTAAGGCTGGAAGGTGGCTTTGGCCTCAGCATGGACTTGGCTAAAACTCCCCACATTTCAGAGGAAAGGCCAGCCCATCACCTCATATTAACATGCTGATGTTTCCTTTTCTTTTTTTACACAAAAAGTTCCACTGATTGTAACCAAGAGGAAACGAAAGCCATCAATAGCCCCAGCTGGCAAATATGGCTGCCGTCAACATGTTCTTTGGACGTGAATATAAATATATGCAGTCTCATTTTGAAAATAGGACATATATATATATATATATATTTAAGTATTTCTCTTTTTAAATAGTTCTTTGCAGACAGCAGGAATACAGTGAGAAGCACACATGTAAGGTGCACGGTGTCACATTCACAATGTGAAAAGCCATCACCACACTGAGCTGGTGAATGTTTCCTTGCTCCCCTTTGCAACCTCTCCACACCCTCTTCCCCAGGTGACCACTGATGTCACTACAGATTAGTCTCAAGTCAACCAATATTTGCCCCCCTGCTGCATGTCGAGAACAAGAGACCCTGTCCTAGCCACCCTTGGGCCTATGGTCCACTGGGGAAGACAGGTAACAAAAATAGCGGGGGTGGACAGTGATGGCTCCCTGAGGAGGGGGCTTTTGAGAAATCAGAATGGCAAGAAGGATTAAGCTGTGTGGAAATCCGAGTTGGTGGTCCAGGCAGAGGGCACAGCCCCTGCAAAGGCACTGGGGCAGGATGGTGCCTGGTATGTTGGAGGAACAGTGGGGAGGCAACCACTGATTACACATTAGTTGGCATTTCCTAGATTTTTATATAAATGGAGTCATTCCCATATGTGTCCTTTTTATCTGGCTCCTTTCACTCAGGAGGTTGATTCATGTAGCGTGTATCAGTACATTCCTTCTTTTTCTGAGTAGTAGTGTGCAGATATACAGCAGGCACTCAAGTAATGTCATTCCATTCAACGTCATTTTCTTATAACTGAGATGCCATAGGGATTTTACTCTTGTTTATATCAGCCTGTGATAAACTGGTTTCCTTATATGTCATCTCGCTTAAAATCACAGAACTTATTGACATTAAGTGAGGACTTATTGTACCACAATTTGTTATCAATTCACAAGTTGAGACATTTAGGTTGTTTCCAAATTTTGGCTATTACCAATCAGCTGTTATAAACATTCATATACAATTAAATGTATGGACATATGCTTTCATTTCTCTTGGATAAATACCTAGAGTGGAATGGTTGTGTCACATCATGGGTGTCTAATTTTTTCGAAGATAATCGTGTCATTTTGTGTTCCCACCTACCAATTCTTCCACATCCTTGCCAACGTTTGGTGTGGTCAGACTTTTAAATTTTAGTCACGTATAGGTGTGTAGTGATATCTTATAGTTTTAATTTGCATCTTCCTATTGACTAATGTTTCCATGTTTGTATTTGTCATCCACATCTTTGGTGTGTCTTTGGTGACATGCCTGTTGGAAGCTTTTACCCATTTTTTATGAGTTTTCTTTTATTGAGTTTTGAGAATTCTTTATATATGCTGGATACAAGCCCTTTTTCAGCTATATCTTTGTAAATATTCCCTCCCAGTCTGTGGCTTGTCTTTTCATTCACTTAAGTATCTTTCAAAGAGCAGAAGTTCTTTTTTAAAAATATATATATCTTTATTGATTTTAAAGAGAAGGAAAGGAGGAGGGGGAGAGAGAGAAACATCAGTGATGAGTCATTGATCGGCTGCTCCTGCATGCCCCCTACTGGGGATCGAGCCCGCAACCGGGGCATGTGCCCTGACCAGGAATCAAACCTCAATCTCCTGGATCCTAGGTCGATGCTCAACCGCTGAGCCACACCAGCCAGGCAAGAATAAAAGTTCTTAATTTTTATCAAGTCCATTGTATCAGTTTGTTCTTTTATGAATTATGCTGCCGGTGTCATACTTAAGAACTTTTTCCCTAACTCAAGTTCACAAAGATTTATTTCTGTTTTTTTCCTAAAAGTGTAATAGTTTTAGGCTTTACATTTCAATCTATGATTCATTTTGTGCTATTTAAAAAATATATGTTGTGCCCTAGCCGGTTTGGCTCGGTGGGTAGAGCGTTGGCCTGTGGACTGAGGGGTCTTGGGTTCTATTTCGGCCAAGGGCTCATACCTCATTTGTAGGCCCTGGCCCCTGGGCTGTGTGCGGGAGGCAACCAGTCGGTGTGTATCTCACATCAATGTTTCTATCTTTCTCTCTTCCACTCTCTCTGAAAAGCAATGGAAAAAATATCCTCGGGTGAGGATTAAAAATAAACAACAAAAAATATGTTGCAGAATATGGAACATGTTTAGATTTTTACATACGGATATCCAATTGTTCCAGCACCATTTGTTGAAAATACTATCCTTTCTCCACTGAATTGCCTTTGCACCTTTTTTTGAAAATTAATTAAGCAGTGTGTGTGAATCAATTTCTGGACTACATTCTATTCCACTGATCTATGTGTCTGTCCTTTCACTAATACCACGCTGTTGTTGTTTTTTAAAAAAAAGTTAATCATTTTTAGAGAGAAAGGGAGAGAGAGAGAGAAACATCGATGTGAGAGCTCAACATCAATCAGCTGCCTCCTACATGCACCCTACTGGGGATCAAACCAGCAACCCGGGCATGTGCCAACCTCTTGGTGCATGGAATGATGCCCAAACAGCCACACTGGCCAGGGCAATACCACAGTGTTTTGATCACCATGGCTTTCTGAATAAGTCTTGAAATTAGGTAGTGAGACTCCTTCAACTTTGATCTTTTTTTATTTAATTTTTTAGATTTTTAGTTTTTTACAATATGTGTCTATTGATTTCAGACAGAGAAAGGGAGAGGGGGAGAGAGAGAGAAATGTCAGTGATGAGAGAGTATTGATCAGCTGCCTCCTGCACACCCCCTACTGGGGATCAAGCCTGTAACCTGGGCTTGTGCCCTGACTAGGAATCAAATTGTAAGCTCCTGGTTCATGAGCCAACGCTCAACCACTGAGGCACGCCAACTGGGCATTCAACTTTGATCTTTTTCAAAGTTGTTTTGACTATTCTAGGTCCTTTGCGCTTCCATGTGAATTTTGGAATCAGCTTGTCAATTGTGTTTAAGAAAAAAAAAGCCTTGTATTTTAATTGGGGTTACAATGAATCTATAGATCAGTTGGAAATGAACTGACAAGTTACCAATTGCGATGGTTAATTTTCCGTCAACTTGACTAGGCTATAGTGCCCAGCTGTTTGGTTCAAACATCAGTCTAGATGTTGCTGTGAAGGCATTTGTTTGTTTGTTTGTCAATTATTTTAAATCCTCACCTGAGGATATATTTTTTCCATTGCTTTTCAGAGAGTGAAAGGGAGAGAGTGAGAAAGAGAAACATCAGTGTGAGAGAGAGAGAGACATCGATTGATTGCCTCCCATAAGTGGCTCAGGAGCGGAAGCCTGCAACCGAGGTATGTGCCCTTGGTTGGAATAGAACCTGGGACCCGGTCTTTAGTCCACAGTCTGACACTAACCACTGAGCAAAACTGGCTAGGGCTGTGAAGGCATTATTTATTTACTTAAAAAAAATATGTCTTTATTGATTTCAGAGAGAAAAAGGGAGAGGGAGAGAGAGAGAGAGAAGCACCAATGATGAGAGAGTCATTGATCGGCTGCCTCCTGCACGCCCCCGACTGGGAATCAAGCCCACAACCTGGGCATATGCCCTGACTGGGAATCGAACTGCGATTTCCTGGATCATAGGTTGATGCTCAACTACTTAGCCACACTAGTCGGGCTGCGAAGACATTTTTAGATGTGATTAACATTTAAAATGACTGAATAAACAGATCACCGGTGGGCCTCATGGATGTCGGTGGGCCTCATCCAATCAGTTGAAGAGAAAAGACTGAGGTTCCATGAGGAGGAAGGAATTCTGCCTTAGATTGCCTTCTGACTGCAACATGGACTCTTGTTTGAACTTTCAGCCTGTGGGCTTCTGCTGTGGATTTCAGGCCTTCCAGTCCCCACAACCTTTCTCTGTAAATACACATCTTATACACATCTTATTGGTTCTGTTTCCCAGGAAAAGCCTACCACACCAATACTGAGTCTTCCAATTCATGCTCTCAGCTGGGGAGAGAGGCCAACCTAAGGGAGGAAATAGCACCTTTCATACCAATGCCTGTAGACCATCATAAGTCGTATGTGTGGCGTGCCGGACTTCTGCCTGGCAGCATTGGCTCCACCGCCCAAGGCCACACAGCACGTCCTCCGAGTGGGCCTAACTCTTGCTTTTATGTTTCACTTACACATATATAAACCTTTTCACTTGCTTTTATATTTCACTTACACATATATAAACCTTTTCAGAGGATAGCACTCCATCCTCTGAAGTTACCTTGAACTATCCACCCAACCCGCATGCTGCTTGTGCCCAACTTTCCACCACCATAAACCTTTATAGGTAT